CTCAATGCGTTCCAATGCATTTGATCAGAAGTGACTGCTTGGAGAGGAACTTAAGTATTTGGAGGCCATATCCATGCGATCAAGGTTGTTCTGAATGAGATTGATAAGTGATGGCTGCTGCTGGTGGGGATCCAGTATAGTGCCGCAAATGCCACACATTTCCCAAACATAGGGCCAATCACAATTCCCCTTTCAATATTCCACTCAGGTATCATCTACTCCAAAAAGCCTTCCCTGAATGTCCCAGCTGGAAATCCTTTCCTCTCTTCTGAAGGTGCTTCCTTGCAGGTGTTCGTTGTGTCTCCCTTATATTAAAGTTATTTATGTTCTTGCCTTCTCTGTGCTGCCAGACAACTCCTTGAATGCAATAACCTGGTCTGGATCATCTTTGAATACATCACTGTGATTCACAAAAAGCCTTGCACTGAATAGTGTATGCTATAGGAATATATAATTATTTATATAAATAAAAGAATGGCGAGTGCTCAATATTTGTTGAATTAATGAACATAAGATTATTACTACTATTCGCCTGCTGTGTCACAAAGAGATTAAGTTATGTTTTGTAGGCTAGAGACCAGGGCTAATGGTTTGGAAGCTCTCTCAGCAGCCAGACTCTAGGGAGATGGCGATAAAGCAGCAGCTCTAAGAGTGATCACTGGGCAGTAGAAGAGACAGGAACATAGGCACACATAACAGGTGACATTGATACTTGAAACTCCACAGGAATTTTTTGTCTTGTGTATGCTGGCAGGGCAATAAAAAGCTGACAAACACAGTGAATGAGAACCTAATACAATATTTTAATGCGTTTACTGTCAAGATGCACAATCTTAAAAGAACATTTTGTATTTGTTAGTGTGTGTGCACGCGCGTGCGCGCTCACAGCTTGCTGGGATGCATGGAGTGAGAGGGGTGTGCAGACATTCCACAAGATCCCCTGAAATGTCTCCAAAAAAACAAACTGATGATTCTCTCAAGACGAAAGAGAAAACATCGCTGAATAAATAATACGTTTCAAGAGGCTTTATATATTGCAAAGAGTATTTTCACTGATTGGTAGAAATTCTTTTTGATTAATTAATTAGTTAATGTTTCCAAAGCACTTTCAAGATGGAAAACATTTTGTGAGGGCTACATAATTGTTATTTTTCCTACATACCTTGGTTTTCCACATTACTGGGTTTGTTTTTCTCTCGGGTTGCTCATCAAGCCACATACCCTCACAGAGACATGGTGTGGAATTCTCAGAGAATAGAGACAAGAGAGATGGGTTGTCAATGAGCAGGAAATAAGAAAAAACAACTCTGAAAATATTTTTTTAAGTATATTTGAAATATAACCATAAAAGCAAATGGAAAACCAGTCATAGCCTCTACCAGGGGAATTTTCCTTGCTCCCTAACAAAGAACTCCAAGCACCTTGCGCATTGCCTTGATCAATATCTATTTGTTTAAGAAATAACAATGACTAACTTTTACTGAGTGCTTACTCACTTCTGGGTATTGTTCTAGTACTTTGCATATGTTAATGAATTTTCTCCTCAAAACAACCATTTGAGGTACTGTTACATGAAGATTTTACAGATGAAGGAAAGGAGGACTAGAGGAGTTAAGTCCTTCACCCGAGGCCATATACAGCATGTAAGTGACACACCCTAGCTCTTGGCTATGATGATGGAAGGAAGGAAAGGGGGAAAAGGGAATGAGGAGGAAAAGGAAAGGAAGTGAGAGAGAGGGATAGAAAGGAGGGAGAAGGGAGAGTTGAAGATAACCAATGATCTTTATTGTTGTTGATGGTTACAAATTCTGTCTCCATCCTGCCCCTACAATGTCTGATGACATACTGATAGATTAATAAATAGAAAATAAATTAGGTCAACATGCACTATTGATGAAACTAATTCACATAGCAAAAGTGATTTAGTTTGTTTTCAAAGTAAAGATCTGTATTTAATATTCACAGCATCACCTGACATTCTGCCCATAGACCCAGGACCCTAAAATCTTCATTATCACCAAACAACATGGCAGCATGGTGAGAATTAAGCCTTGGGTCATGGGCCTCTGATTTTCCTTTGGCTAAAAACAAACACACAGACACACACACACACACACACACACACGCACACACACACATATCATATATACATATACACTGTATATAATCTCTCTCTATTTAAAATATATATAAAACTTCATGATAGTAAAAAGAGCAAGGGCTTCAGATGATGACTTTGAATCATCTCAGCACCTTTACCTGCTGTGTGACTTGGTTCTCATTACTTAACCTCTCTGAACCTCAATCATCCCATTTATAACTTGGGGACAAGAAGTCTTCTCTCCTAGATTTGTTGTAACAATTACTTTTGAAAATACATGGAATGCAGCTAGCAATACCCAGAATATAGTAAGTGCTCCATAAAAAAACAGTAATTCTAATATTGTTCCTTCCTCCCCTTCCTCCTTTTTTTCTCCCTCTCAAGCTCGTGTGGCCTGGCCTGTTAAAGGACATGTCAACAAATTCCTGAGCAACCGGCTCCAGAGTGCCAAAAATGATGGACGGAGCAAAGTAAGGTCATGGAAACCCACTGTTTGGTTCACCTGTGTCCACCCCCCCAGACATTAAAACATCAATGGGATGAAAAGACAGGTAGTCTCCAAAATGGGGAAGCTAAGAGGAATCTCAGAATACTGAGAATAAGTATCTGATACAAGGACAAAGGCAGAAAGTAAGACAGGTGTGCATAATTTATTGGCTTTCTGAACTGCGGGGTCCTCATTAAACTGGGTGTAATTAACAAAGCTCTTCTCAGATATGAGACATAAAGATGCTCGGCAACAGAACCCAGGGGGGAAGGTAGCCGGGCTCATCCCACCCTCTACATCCACTAGCTGGATGATTCCCAAGCATGTTACAGGATCTCTTCAGTTTTTCTCATCAAAGAAATGGTTACTAACATTTACCCAGGGTTGTCACGAGTAGCAAGTGAGCTAACCCACGGAAGGGGCTTAGGAGAGTGCCTCGGTGTTAGCAGGGGTGCTGGACGTGGTGTGAGTCGACCCTCCCCTGAGAAAAGGTGGTGCATAAAACAAGCCCTTCATGCTGAGGTGGGGTTGGGGGAGGGACACGAAGGGACAGAGGAATGGCAGCAGTATCAAGAGAGATCTTTCTTACAGTGTGCAATTCAGTGAAGGAGCAGCAGAAAGATCGAGAAGCTGCTCTCACGTGTGCTTTTGAGGCCTCAGGACCCTCAGGGGCTGTTTCCTTCACACACTCGCCTACCTCAAGCTAGCTCAAGTGGGAGACATTGAATGGGTTGGAATTCAACCTCCTATTTTTCTTTTCTTTTCTTCCCAAAAGCCTTTGAACGGTTCACAGCCATCAACGAGCATCCTCAGAGGAATACCAGGCTCAGGGCAGGTCGGTGTTCTGCCTGGAAACCGGCAAGGAGGCAAGTCATGAGAACACTGAACTCACTACATCTTCCCGACCTCACGTTTCTGGTAAAGGAGACAACCTCTGCCCGCAGGACTTCCAGAAGCACTCAGGAGTGCCCCATGATTATGCCATAGCGACCTGGAGGAGCAGCATACCTTCTGTAGTGAAAGGAAGTTTGAGAAATAAGGATTCAGTGTATTTTTGGTTTTCACATTAAAAGGCCTGTGTCCTTTCGTGCCAGCCCAGATTCCACCCCAACCCTCACCCCCAACCAGGAATACTTCAAAGATATTCTAATAGGAAAGGTTGCCAGATAATTGTCAGAGAGGATTAGCATTATCAGTGACCAAACTGTGAGCCTTTAGTCTTCTGGCAAGCCAAGTGGAGAGCACAGCCAGCTTCCCAAGCAGTTTCTATGGAAAACAGAGAAGCAGCCCTTATCCCTGGGTACCCAACTTAGGCAGCATTTAGCACCCCATATGAGCAGACCACCTATTCTTAGAACAGACCGGATATAGGGCACATTGCCCTCATTTCTATTCTGTGATAAAGACCAACATGCAAGGTAAAAGCAGGCCATAAAAAAAGTAGCCATTAACGGATTTAGATTAGGTTATGTAATTATCCCATTTGTACCCCTGACCTCATCCCAAATGGGTTTCAAACCTTTATAGAGAGCTCTAACAGCCCAGGGCGCAGTTAGTTGTGGTCACTGGAAGGAAAAAAGAGAAGAGGGGAACAAGGCCAATAATACATCTCAATTCCCATTTCAGCTGGAGAGAAGGTCGTGAGAAGGAAACAAGACAGAGGTTCTAGGAAGGAATTCTATGTCATACCATTCTCTGAATGTTAACGCAGATGGTAAGAGCCTGCAGCACAAATTGATATGATAGCCTAGCAGGGGGAAGAAAAAGCAGAGGAAGTAAGAGAGGACTGGAAAATTCTTGTTGAGAACACTTTCTCCCCAAGGATCTCTTTATGAGCCATATTTCCTCCTAAGACAAAAATTGTATCTATGCGTTTATTTCTTGAAATCTCTCTATCTTATAGATTTTATCATGTAATCCCTTTCTTAAACAGCTCTGATGGCTCCCTATTGCCTTTAAAATGACGTTAAACTCAACAGTAGGGCATGCCTTGACCTCGATCACCTATTTTAAACCTACCATCAAGTACTGTCTTCCCCGGACTTCCCAACCATGGAACCCACATTTTGAGCACAGACTCACTCTTTTTATAAACACAGCATGCTCTGCCTCATAGCATGTCTTCTTTTTCTCTCTTTCAATGCTCTCCCTTCTCCATGTTTGGTGAAATACTC